ACTTTCACGTCACTAAAATCAAGATAGTTCCAAGTTCCATTCAGGGCTTCGACACAGTCATCGGTGAAGGCGCTGTTCAGCTTTCTGGCGGTCAGAAACAACGCATTGCCATCGCTCGAACCCTAATCCGTAGGCCACAGATTTTGCTTTTGGATGAGGCTACCAGCGCATTGGATACGGAGAGCGAGCGAGCAGTGCAAGAAGCTCTGGATGTGGTTGGTTGATACCTTTTTACTTCTAGACATCTTGATTATAAAATGGAATGAACGAATTTAGGCAAGAAAGGATCGCACCACTCTTTGCATTGCCCACAGACTTTCTACTATTAGAGATGCTGACAAAATCATAGTTTTCGAAGAAGGTCGCATCGCTGAGACTGGTAAATCACCTTAGCGCATTTATTTTTGTTCCATAACTATTTTTTCAGGAAAGAGAGTCTACGTTACCGCAAACTCCTTTTGCATATTAAATGAATCTTACATTAGGGAAACCTAAGAAATCATAATAGCCACGCCTATTACGATAGAAAGGTGCAATGAGAAAGTTATTGAAAAATTCCTACAATAGTACAAGCAAGCCAGACCTAACATTCACTACTTGAGAAACTTTTTACCGTGACTAACATAAGACGAGCGAGAACGAGTAGTGCGCGCTGAGTAAGATAGGATTTACCCTATAAGTTGCTTTGCTTTTCTCTCCTTTATCCTACGGTTTTATGTTGATTGCCTCGGAAATCAAATTAATTAATTGATTTTTTTGAAATTAATTCTCTTTCTTAGGAACTCACGATGAACTTATGGCAAACGAAAAGAGTATCTACAAAGGAATGGTAAAAGCTCAAGAGATTGCCAAAGGACAAGAAGACACTACCTTGGACGGTAGGTCGTCATTTTACCACTTTAAAGCCAACTGAGATTTGGAGTTACCCCTTTAGATGTGGACCCGGTGGAGATTCGCAGAGGTTTAACGAAGGAAAAGCCAGCTATAACTGAAGAGGATCTAAAGCGAAAAATCAGCCTGGCCAGGGAATCCGCCCGCCTTCGTCAGAGTTTAATCAGCACGTCCACGCATGAACCAGAATGGGAACTTGAAGAGTTTGTTTTGACTTATTTGATAATTGTTGTCAAGTGTATGTAACCACTACGGTGCAACTGCAACATACAACAAATCCTCCCATGAACACTGATTGCAATTTATGGCTAATTCCGCGCCTATGTGATAACATCCATTGAAGCATTAGCAATATTTATTACAAATCTCCTTGCGAGTTTAGTTATGCACACCATAGGCGCATTTCATCAAAAGGCGAAACTTGGTGTTTGATTCGCAATCATGCCATATGCACAAAATAGCTGCTAGTAAAGGTTGTACGAGCAAACAATAAGCAATAATTTTTGCTGCTCAGTTGACTTACAATTAGGTAATCATTAATATCGACTTGATCAAAAAGTCTCCAATTTTCTCCACATTCTTACAGCTTAGGTAAGAGATACTGCATAGAGCTGTAATTCGTTCTGGGTAACCCGTGCTGTAACATATGGATATAAAACGGATTTAACACATCCATTCAGCAATTTTTGGCCATAGGTTCACAACATCATATGCGGGCGTCTTTTTCAATAAATGACCACATAATCATCGGCACAACAATAGTAACTCTTCGAAAACGTACGCTACGTATCGCGCGCTCACTTTCCTTCCTTATAGGCATGCAGGAGATGACTTTTTGTGCTTGGAAAACTCAAGGTCCAATCTGAGGTGCTATTTAGACCTGTACATACTTAGATGGCTTGTCTTCACTCGTCGTGCAAGCCCCAGCATTGTTTCCATCCGTTTTTGTCTCTCGCTAACGTTAACCACGATGTTGGTATTGAACTACGGCGGCGACGTTCACGAGGTCCAGATCCACTACTTTTAGCAGGTCCATTCTTGCAACGAATATATCAGCCCATCTGGTCGGTGACCCCAAAGACTTTTTGCTTCGCGAAGGATCCATTCCAAAGTTCTTAGTATCCATTTCTTCTCACTATATGACCAACCTATCGATATTTTACATTAGGGACGTATTTCGCTGGATCGCGAAGACTAGACATTGATCTTACTGAATTGCGAAGTGCGACAAGATGCTGAGTGCGTCGGTTGTACTTCGGAAGACGTCATTCCAGTCTTTGGGTTCTTCGAAGTGCTTTCGATATAGCCACAGTGCCAGGCCACGTCTCTGCTGCGTAGCAGAGAACAGTTAGATCGAATAGGTGGGTTCGGAGCTCTGGTCCGTCAGCTGGTCTGTGGCTTCCTTTAGGGGCCCGAAGGCAACCCAAGCTGCTCCTTCTATTTGGTTCTTTCTTCAGATCGTTTACCATGTTCATCGAACGTCCATACGTAAGAAGACGTCTCCGCGATTGGAGAGCCTTCCAGTTTCATTTCCTGATCCTCGCAAAGGGCTTCTTCATGAACTGAGTCTTCTTCCAGTCAATTTGCAGTCCTGTCCGCTTCTCTTCGTTTAGTTCCTTCAACATCGTCTCCACTTCAGTTATTCCTCGGGAAGAAGACAATGTCCTCCGCAAAGCGAAGGTTCTCAAAAAATCTCCCATCATCGTATACCTCTCCCTTCCA